TTATTGATGGAGAATAATAGTAGAAACAAACCAAAGAGGCAAAGAGTGGCTGAATGGAGCACCCACGTTGGGGTGTTTGTAGCAATTACTTGACTGATCTTGTTAAACCAAGTGGAGAAGCTTTGAAAGTTTGGCGAGAAGAAAGACTTTTTCATGGAGATTGGATGCCGCAGAGTTGTGGTAAGTGTCGATATCAGCGAGGAGTTTCTAATTGGATTGGAAATCTAAATTTGAAACCTTAAGAAATTCCAATTTGCCAATAATTATATTGAAGGAAATGACATTAATGGAAATGACAAAACAAATTATATTGAAGAAATTGAAAGTAGTATTATTGCATTATTACCATTCATTAATAAAATAAGAATATAGGATTACTAACAAGATCAACAAGACTTTTCATCTTTAGCTAAGCATACAAATAGTAAAATTCACATTAAAAGCATATGACTTTTTATCTTTATATAAATTTGTAAAAATGATAACAAGTTAAATTTCAAGGTAATTAGCATCCATCAATTCAAAAACCAACATCACATCCCTGAGATTCTCCAAAAAAAGAAATTAAGTGCAACATAGCACATTAGGTAGAACAAATGTAGAAAAAAAAAAAAAAGGAGAGAGCAAATAGATGTTAAAATTAATTCTATCTTTTGCATCAGTTACATAACCTCAAAATCCTATAGGCTAATACATTAAGAACTTGAAATTCATAATCATCTAAAGATTGAAAAGCAAATGGAAACTTGATAAATGCATAACAAAATTAAAGTGAAAAGGAGATGAACAAACTTTTGCATGAATCTTTCATAGAAAGAGAAAATCAACTATGCCCCAGCCTTAGCAAATGAATTAGGTGCAGCCTGTAAAATAGAAAAGCAAAGATCAATACAAATAAATCTTGTTAAGAAATTCCAAAATTATTTTAAAAAAAGGAAATCTAAGAGAATAGTGGCTGTTCCCTTCACTGTCGCCTCCTAACCCAACTGATCAAGCAACCGTGAAAGGGGAAAAATAACTAAAACTAAACACTTATCTTTAGTTTAGTTTCCCTAAAAAAGATGAGGAAAAAAACTAACACTGCAAGTTTAGTTTATGTATGGGACTATGAAGCTTAATACTCAAATAAGTACAAAAACTAAAACTCAGATTTATTTACTGCTTTTCTTCCCTTCCCTTTTCTCTCCATTTTCCCAAATTTATCCATCTTTTGTATCTTTTCTCTATCCTTTACAGTAAATGAAAATTATACATTAGAGACCAAATTTGGCACGCACCTAGCACCAAATCCAATCTCCAACAATACAAAACTTGGTATTTAAAAAAAAAAAATACTTACATGGTCACTTTGATTATTTTCTTCTATATTAGTCTCAACATAAATAAGTGATTCCTCCATTGAGTTACCATTTCTGCATGCATTGAGTTTGGACAACAGGTCTCAAAATTAGTAGAATGATGAAGATAAACTATCATATTGCAGACATATATATCCCAATATCTAATAAAATAATTAGATGACATTTTATGACACAGCAAATTTCTGAATCTTCTTATAAGTAACCTTTGGTACCAATTAAATTTCAATTACCCATTTATAAAACCCAAACTGCAAGCCATACCTGATCTTTGGAGATGCTCGCTTTATCCTGATATAGTTAATAAATATGCCAAACATGATATCCAGAAAAACAATGCTGCTCTCTTTTAGACATTCAAACATCTACATAACAGACAAAAATTATTAAGAAACTATTGTCAAACAAAGGAAAATAAACTCAATACTACCATCAACTTTTAATCAGCTCAACTACAAAGTACAGAAAGCTCATAAAGAAGTTGCCATGAGCTCTAAGGTTTCTCAGGAGGAATAGGATAAAACCTATTTTGCCAAATGGTAAAGGAGCCCTTTGAGCCATGTGGCTGAAAGATGTCATTCTAGGGTGAACAAGGTCAACGAACATACAAGTCTAACACACAAGAGTGCCAAATATGGAGCATTATTCCAGTTTGGTTCCCAAACATCAAATGAAGCTTCCACAAAAACTTTGAGATAAGTGAACTCCTATCGAAATTCAAAACCCTAGGATTATGCTCAAAATAGAAATTCAAGTTTTCAAAACATTCTCCCCCAATTATCACCACACTGTTTCACTACAAAACCCTAGGATTATGCTCAAAACGCATTACATTAAGTAGACTAGATCTAGGGTTGAAAGGAAGTTACCAGATTTTGAAGCACAAGGAATGAGAAGTTCAGTGGTTGCGCCGGAGAAAGAGGCCCGCCAAATCGAGCATCGGAGATCCAGAACCGCCAACATCGAATCTGTCCTCCAGGCACACACTAGTCAGCTCCACCGAAGGGTCGATCGAAGTCTGAAACATGGATCCAAGGTCCCCAGTGCTGGATCAAGTCGAAAAGTCGTCAAGGTTAACCAAATTTTTTGGATCGAATGTCAGATTTGTGCTATTGGAGAACTGTCCCACAAAGAGAACGTCGGTTGGCCCTTTCGATCGGACGATGATGGCATGAACACTGAGAAGGAGAAAGGGAAAGGATAGGAAAGAGAAGAGAGAAAAGGGAAATGAATTTTGGCGAAGGTTGGAGTTGAACTAGATTTGGGAGAGGGAAATATTTAGGTTTAGCTGGGGAGGGAAACCCAGAATGTAGGGAAGGAAAATTGGGGAAAATGTGGAGGGAAGTGAAAATAAGGACAGCCGGCTAAAATCAAAGAGGAAAAAATTGAGTTTAACAAATAGTAAATTATACAGACAGTACATAGAAATCTCTATGTATAAATATATTTATACAAACACAAGAGGATTACCGTTGGTATAGATATTCTCTATACAGATGGACAATAATTTTTTGTTTGTATAAGCCTAATCTATACTAACAGATATAATTTTTTGTTTGTATAGACCTAACCTATACTAACGGATATATTTTTCCGTTGGTATAGGCTTGTCTATATAGACGGATATATTTTTCCATTGGTATAGACCCGTGTATACAAACAAATTTCAATCCGTCAGTATAGACTTCCGTTGGTAAAAGGCATTTTGCTTGTAGTGAGTGTGTGAGTTAAGCACTGGTAAGTGTTATTTACTTAGTTTTATTATTTTATATTAAATTTAAATATTTGATGTATATTTTTTTTTCTGAAATTTAAGCTATCAAATATTGTCATTAGTTCATTGGATATTAATTTTATTAGATTGTTGTTTTAGCTAAATTTTTTGGATAGTT